CAGAGGAGTATCGCTCTTAGATATAGGATACAATGTTTTATCGCGACTAATGGCGAGGCTGGGAAAATGGCTAGAGACAGAAGGAAAGCACAGGCGGGATTCAGAAAGAAGAGAGGCACGATGGAACAGATATTTGTACTAAACACACTGATTGGGAGGCAACTGAAGAGGAAAGGGGGGAAACTGCACGTAGCGCTCATAGATTTTAAGGCGGCTTTCGATAAAGCGAAAAGGGAAAAATGAAGAAGATAAGGGTGACTGGCGAGTTTCTAAGGATGACGCAGGAAATATACAGAGAGACGAGGAACAGGGTGATCGCAGGAAAAGAATTGACAGGGGAGTTCAGTACCGGAAAAGGAGTTAGACAAGGGTGTCCATTAAGCCCGATTTTATTTAACATCTTTATGCAGGACATGGTAGAGGCAATGGAAAGAAGAAAAGAAAGAAAACAAAACCTGAGGAGTGATGAACAGGAGTAAACTAAGGAGCTTAAAAAGAAGACCTCATGAGAGTAACAGTAGAGGCAGCGGCACTATATGGAATGGAACTCTGGAGTGGAAAAGGTAAGATGTCATTGAAAAGGTATGCAAAAGATACGTGAAGGCGAGTATGGGGCTGTCTAGGAATACACCTGAGTACATATGGAGAATGGAGGCAGGATTAAGAAGTGTAGAGGCGGAGACAGTAAGAAGGGGGGCATTATTCCTGGTGAAAATCATCGGGTTGAGGGAAGAGAGATGGCCGAGAAAATGCCTGAGGGCGGAAGTGAGAGGAATAAAGCACGAACAGCCATGGAAATGGGGAAAAATGGTTCAGGAGAGGCTGAAGGACGTAGGAGATGGAGAACTATAGGAAATGCTATGGGAGGGAGAAAGTGTAAAAGCAAAAGAGAGAATAAAGGATATAGTACAAGTAGTAGAGGACCAGGAGATACAGAAAGATTAGGAAGAGATTGAAGGCTCAACAGTAAGTCAAACAGTGTAAAAAACTATTCGACCGAATTCAAGCAACTTTTTCTCGTTCTTCGTATGTTTATGAAGAACTGTCGGGGAAAATGGAACAGACAAAAACATGCCTATTCGATATAATTGTATTAAAGGTGTTTGTGTACTACCTCAAAAAAAATGAAAAAATCTGCAAAAATTGGATTGGCGACTGTAGTAATAGTTAAGACTGTAATATTAGTTTTCCCGTCGGTTTCATTTCCCCCACCCTGTTCTATTGACACATGGAAAACCGGAAAAGAAGTTCCTTAAATTGTGTCGAATAATGATTTTTTACACTGTTGCATTTTTTCTCATCCTTCTCTAATTCCAAGGATATTCACCTTGTTATAACTAGCAATAAACGCCTGACATCTCTTTCTGCACTCGTCATTCAATCTCGTTCTCGCTGGATCAATTAAATTAACAATTGAGTTCTGAATATGGACATACGTCAAAACCCAACGGACGTTTCCAACGGTGTGGGGAAGAAGAATTATTGGGAAGAATTATTGGGAATCCTCATTATCGGGCGAAAGGACTCTCTTGGCAGGACATTTAGACTGGGCTTTCGGGCGTGGGACGTCCAACTTACGGTAAATAGTTAACACGTGGTCGCGACATTTTGTAATAAATTTAGAAGCTTTCATGGGTCCATTCTGCTCCAGTTTTGTTATGCGAAAATGATTTTCGGCAGATGTATTTACCACGTGATTTCTCTGTGAAGATGATATGGTCGACCAAAGTGGGGGCATATGGGAGAATTCCAGGGAATTATATTTATTTTTTAATCCATTTTGTTCATGATTTTTAATGTTCGCCCTGACTTTGCTTCGAACCCTGTCGAAATATTGACAAAATTGGACTTTTTCTGTACATCGTACGGTTAGCATTCCGTAAATACTTCTCAGTTTCAGGCTTCACAATATTTAGCATCTACTCAAAGTGTGAAGAGAGGGGTCTAACTGCTTCTGCGAGATCGTCGAAAGCTTTTGTCACACGATCATTTTCGAAAAGATATTCCAATATAGTGATAAGAGACTCGACGTGTACACTCATTGCATTGAAATTATTGCTATGATCGATCTAGGCTATACCTACCAAATACAACGGGATGTTCTTCTCATTAATGCTCTTACCATGTAACCATCGCGAAATCATCTTCATCACATGCGCATAGGATAAAAAATGCCTCATGATGTAAGATGGTAAAGGGATGTTGTTCTGAATCTCATTGAACACAAACTCCAAGTATTCTACCACCGTAAGATCGTTCCAAGCCCCCATCATTGCACTTATCCTCGCTCAAACCCAGTTCGTGACAAATGAGTAGAAAGGAAGCCATGCTACCTTTTTTTCTTCCCAGTAATTCCTAATGAATCTGCAAAAATCCCTAATCGAAGGAGTGATATAGTGTTTGTAACGTACTCGAGAAGTAGTAAGATCTTTCCCCCTACATTGACAGCACTTGAATAGTAATAAACGCATTTGGACATGGGAAATGGTTTTCTCTCTACTGATCCCGTAGCATCAAAATATAATTTTAAACCCGAGTGACGTTTCAAAAATGCGACCTGTTCTGCACATCCCAAAGAAATTTTGAATGGTGCGACAAATTCTCTAATATACTGATAATTTTCCAGTGTATCAGATATACTCAGAATAATGTCGAACACATCATTGTGGTGGCGGTCATTCTCTGCAAGTTTTTCAGATTTAGCCTTTGGTAGTAGACTAAGGGACTGTACGAATTGATCATTTTTATCTTCACGGGCAAGTGTCCCGTCCATCTCATTAATGAGTTTCTCGTGAATCTCTAATATACTGCTACTGACAGGGGTTGAGCAAATCTCAACTTTTCTTAAAGTTCTGATCGTTCTTCACCCCGTAATTGATAAGCACTCTTGCTTATTGGTCCTGAATAGACTCACTAGATGTTGCAAAAATGTTCGCTAATGTCTCAAATTTTTTCACTTCACCAGTAATTTTAAACATTTTCTCACATTTCGGCTGTCTGCATAACATGAAGTCCGTAAACTTGCCATTATTACGTGGCTTATTCACCTTGAAACGCAAAGAGCACGTGACGTTTAAAGCGCTTGGTAATTCTTTTCTTAATTTTGTATGCAATTTTTCAAGAAAAGCTCTCTTTTTGTGAAGTATATGCTCGTTACCGATAGAAAAGGACCCGACGTATTGATAGTGCTTCCTTGTAAACTTCGGTTGAAATCTCGGTTTAAAAGAATTCTCCTTAGATTCATTATCGCGCGACGCACTTAAAGAAAATCCGATATAGGTGTCTCGATTGCATGATTCGATACGCGTTTTTCGATTTTTCTTCACCTTATCCCTCAATTTTTCTTTCACTCCTGTTTTGAAATCACGCAGATTTTTACGCCAAGCGAAAACTAAACTTGATCGAAATTTCCGACGAAGATATTTCCTAATTTTCAGATAATCATAAATACTTCCAAAAATTTGTTTATCAGTGGGGACATTCTTGAGATCAGATTCTTCGTTTACGCCATGTACAATGACTACAATCGTCACATTATCATCGAATTTCATTATTATGGCCTTTCTAGTTATTCACACAGCGAATGGTAAATTGAATTTAAGAAATATGAAAACTTTTTTCAAAGACTTTTTATCACACTTAATGTAATATATCCTTCGGCAAAGTTTTATTTCGAATTATTCCGAAATGGAGGAGATGAAAATCTCATCCTCATATCTTAGCCCGGGTGTATTTGAAAATCGTCGAGATAGCGCTCAAAGCTACAATAAACGAATGCCATTGGCTCCGCCAAAACGGCGCAAACGTAGTTAGTCTACCTTCATTCTATACTCAAATCGTTCCAATTAATTATGCATAGACAGATGAAAACAATGGGAGTGAGATTATGCGCAATTTCACACATTTATGAGTTTTTATGTTTTCCTGAGATGTTAATTCTTTAGGGATGCTCTGCCGGTATTTTGTTTTTTTTTCCTATTTTTCTGAGATTTATTGAAAACTATCGATCGAATTGGGATATGAAAATATAGCGTTTGTCCGTTACATCATGATTTACCCTTTCACAAAGTTTCATCCCGATACACCAATTTTCATAACTTTTCACTAAAATTTATTGATTTTTAATTAAATTTTAGTGAAAAATTACAAAAATTAGTGTATCGAGATGAAACTTAATGAAAGAGTCAATCATGATGGAACGGACAAACGCTATATTTTCATATCCAATCCGATCGATAGTTTTCAATGAATGTCAGAAAAATTGGAAAAATAACAAAACACCACCAAAACATCCGTTTGAACACAATTAATCCTGTTGCTATTTTTGATTGATGAAATCAAACGTAATGGCTGCCAAATCTCCTACATTATAATTATTCAGGCTGAATACTATACATGAAGAAAAGAATCACATGAAAATTGAGGTAGAAATTGTCAATAGATTTTTTTATTTAGAAGATATTATGCTTTTGCTAAGAGAAATACAATAATTAAATGATTTATTAGACAAGTTTTCATGTCGCGCATATAGAAACTGTGGAACAAAATGATCAAATGTTTTTCTTCTAATCTAATATTCTATCTATTCTTCATTGATGATTAATCATCTTCTGTAATGTTATTCTCGGCTGTTAATGTTCCTCTGGAAAAGCACTGCATATCTCCTAAACTAAACATTTGTAAGAAAAAACCCGTAATGTCACCAGAAGCTTATAAAAATCTGTAAATGTGATTTTTAAAGGTTTTCAAATCGAGCTACTCAAACGTAAGTTAGACCTTGACAAACCTTTATCCTTTAACAGCGGATTAAACTTTAGGAATTAGGATGAGGAACAAAAGAAAAAATATCACCATTAATTGGAGCAAATTCTAATGGTGACATTTTCTTTTCTTTTTTTTTAATCAATTCCGAAGCTAGATATCCACTGTTTATTGCTTTCAAAAATTAATATTACATTAAACTCTTACCCTTAAAATTATATTTTTATATAATGGGCGACTATCACCACCAAATCTTTTCCTATAAAAAAAAACACAATTTTAAACTTTCAATTCCTCAATTTTTCACTGACATATCCGCTGATAAAGATAATTTTCAGCAAACTTCGGGGTCATTTGTTTTTACTTAGAGGAAATATTTTCTAAAAAATTTAAAATTATCTTTCTTAAATTGAAAATGAGAATGATTGACATTAGATTGATATTAGATGAAAATTAACGCAGTATGAATAACGCGACATCACTGATCTCTATATAACTGGATAGACTATCGCGTATTCTCCTAGTGAGGCCCATTTCAAAGTCAATCAGCGCGTCCGAATAGTAGTCCGGGAACTAAACTTCTACCAAGTGCGCATGCTCAGCGCAGTTGTCAGTGGAAGGGGAGAAGCATGTTTATCCAGAGTAGCCGGAAAGTTTCTGGGTAAATTTCCACGAGATACAAATCATCAAAAATAGCGGGAAGTGGGTCGTTTGAACTTAAAATGTATTTCTTGGTATGGGATCTGCATAGGAAAAGCTAAAAGGAAATGAATATTCTTGGCATTTTTTTATATTCATTATCGGGAAATAAGATTCCCTATTTAGTTCAATTTGAGCTGATTACAATGAAAAATCTTCACTGGGTAAGGAGAAAATATAATACTATTCATTATGATTGGATAATTTTTCACTTTTTGAACAAAGTTTAGAGTGGTTATATTTTTCTACGTGTAGTCAAATCCTCGGCTTCCCCCATTGAGGCCACGATTTCCTTGAATTTGGTGATTCTCTTCTGGAATCGGCATGTCTTCTGCTGAAGAGTTTTCTTGTCTCGCATAATTGTTGTCAGTCTCGTCTGCGTTTTTTCCAACTTACGTAGGGTAAGTTCTCCAACCTCTGCATAGGTATGGTTGTGGGAAATCACTTTCATCCGTGTCGCTGGAATTTCCTAATGTAGACCTGCGAACATGGCCAAAAATCTCTAGTGTCATTCCTGATCATCTCTCACTGTTCATATTGATTGAAATTTTACCTTCTATTTCCAATCGGGTTGTGGTAGGTAAGTCTTTTTTAGCTACTTCTTGGCCACTCAAACTCCCATCAAGTTTCATCTCTAAAATACAAAATTAATCACGATATTTAAATTCATTGAAAACATTTTTATATTCGATTTTCCTAAGAAATAGATTCTGCGGGTTTTTCAATTATAAGAAAAAAAAATCCTAGCGTACGATTGAAAATAACTTACGTTTACAGGCGCGTACATGAAGTTCTGTATCGGACGGAAAGGCCAAGTTTTCCTTATTATCTTTGAAGATCGTTGGGACAGATCCCTTCCGCAACCTTGCTCTCAAGTCCCGGAAATCGATGCAGTTTTCAGCAAAATGCTCTACACAGAGCAGATGCCAGGGTTTCGGCACAAAATCCAGTCTGCCCATGTTCTTCACCCAGATCTTCACCAACTTCCCATCCTTGGGAAATCTGTATGTATTAAAAAAATGAGCAATGTGAATATTAGATAATGGGATAATCAAAATTATAAATTTCAATTATTGCTATTTGATTGCGTACAAAATCCACCAATACCATCAAATAAATTTTTCATATCTAACTAATTATCAATTCTAATTTATAACGTTCAATTTTTTATCCAGTGACAATAAGTGATTGAATTTTTCAGCAATAATCGAGCAACCAAATTCTTGAGTATTTTTGCAAACAATATCAGATGCGTAAGGTCGCAGATTATTTCATCACTCTGTTCCTTCAATAAATTATTAAAAATTAAGGATATTAATTACTTCCCTGTATTTAAAATTTTACCTATAATGATCAAAATTTTGAATAACTACTTTTGATGTTGTTATAGTTGATATTGTTGGTGAATTATTCGATATTGATCAAATACTGTTATGTACTCACCGATGAAAAGATATCTTCTCATGCGTCTTGTTTGTTTTACCGCAGTAAACACACCGCATTTTTCGCAAGGAAGAAAATATACTTTTGTCAACCGGACACTTTTAAAAAATTACCGAGTCGTAACGTGAACTAAATCGTTATGGCGTCATTTTTCCAGCGTCATTTACCGTCTGCATCACCCTCCGTTGGGTGACGCGCATGCGCAGTCAAGGGCACTGTAGTACCGAGCTACTACGGCACTGTGTACTTGGAAGAAATGTAGTTTTTCAATTAACTTTTCAAACGTTTCTCTTTGTAAATATTTAGGTGGTAATTTGGTGGAATTTAGGAGAACATGATTAGAATTTGAGAGTAATTAGTTTTTGCTTAATTGATTTCTCCTTTTTTACCATAATAATGAGCAGAAGTTATGATTAAACAATTTAAAAATAACTGGAATCGATAATAATTTGGTGGTCATTATAATGAAGGTTTCGTAATTTATGAGTTAATGGTTTTGTTTGTAAAAATTCTAAACTGGATTTTGTTGCGTACATTATGTAGTTAGGACAGTCACGCATGCGCAATAGGCTTAAGGTAAGCGAATAGACGACTTCCGCTCCCCTTGATGCCGCGGTATACTTGGCGAACAAAGTACATATTTTGAAAAAATAATAAATGGAATAATTAAGAAATAATTTCGAAAATTTTAGAAAACCATTTCCATAACTTGGAAACAATAGTATATTATTAGTTATTAATAAAAAAAACTGTTGGACCGTATGATTAGCGAACCTTGGCGCCCAAATTTAATAAAAACGACCTTAATCGACGGGAAATGGTTTGGAAATATTTAGAAAAACATTCCCATAATTTGGAAACAAATAGTAACAATAGTGGTTTTTATTAAATTTGCACGAATGTGAAAATATTATTATATAATATATATATTTTTTCGTTAAACACTAATAAGCTATTTGTTTCCAGATCATGAGCATGGTTTTCTAAATGTTTTCAAATTATTTCCCAATTATTCGATTTATTATCTTTTCAAAATATGTACTTTGTTCGCCAAGTACACCGCGAAATTGAGGGGAGCGGAAATCGGTGACTGGTAGTTGGCCTCACATAATTGAAAATTCATTAGTTTTTTTATTTAGATCAATAGTAGGACCTTTGTACATCATTGTAATACAATTAAAAAATTTTGTAGACCCTTCATTATTTTTTAATTAATTAAACAAAATAATGATCGGAAGTTAGCACCCTACCCCACTAATTTTTATTTGTAGACCGAAATAAAATTAACCAATGGAAAACAAATCGTTTGTAGATAATAAATAAATTGGTATCATCCTTGTACACCTGATTGTTCATTAGATATTAATTAAATTAAAAAATGGTTTACAGTGTTAACATCGGCGCATGCGCAGACACGTACCCTCGCACAGTTTGGCACTATGCACTTGGAAGAAATGTCGTTTTTTAATTAACTTTTCAAACTTTTTTCTTGGTAAATATTTAGGTAGTATAAATTGGTGGAATTTAGGAGAACATGATTAGAATTTGGGAGTAATTAGTTTTCTCCCCTTGGGAAATCGTCAATTCGCTTACCTTACGCCTACTGCGCATGCGTGACTGTCCTAACTATATAATATATAATGTATGCAAAAAAACATCACGTTTTTAATTTTTACAAATAAAACCATCAACTCCTAAATTATGAAACCATGATTATAATCACTACTAAATTATTCTCTATCGATTCCAATTATTTTTTATTTTTTTAAGAATAACTTCTGCTCATTATTATTGACAAAAAAGAAAAAAAAATAAATGAAAACTAATTACTCCGAAATTCTAATCATGTTCTCCTAAATTCCACCAATTTACTACCTAAATATTTACCAAGAAAAAAGTTTGAAAAGTCAATTAAAAAACGACATTTCTTCCAAGTGCATAGTGCCAAACTGTGCGAGGGTACGTGTCTGCGCATGCGCCGAAGTTAACACTTGTAGACCATTTTTTAATTTAATTAAATCTAATGAACAATCAGGTGTAGAAGGATGATACCAATTTATTTATTATCTACAAACGATTTGCTTTCCATTGGTTAATTTTATTTCGGTCTACAAATAAAAATTAGTGAGGTGGGGTGCTAACTTCCCATCATTATTTTGTTTAATTAATTAAAAAATAATGAAGGGTCTACAAAATTTTTTAATTGTATTACAATGATGTACAAAGGTCCTACTATTAATCTAAATAAAAAAACTAATGAATTTTCAATTATGTGGTGCCAACTACCAGTCACCCGAAGATTCGGCCCCCAGAACTAATACTGCCCCCACCCAAGAGAAGAAGAAAAACAAGTTTAAAAAAAAAAAACGCGGAAAATCGCTTGCCAGTCGGCAAGGTGGGAAAAATACGGAGCTTATTCACTCTGAACCATTTAACCTGTCGTCGGCTCACAAGACAACTCAGTGAGTGCCATAATAACATATTAATCGTATATCATCATCAACCTCTCGGCTCTCATGCATATATATATGTATACAAATAGCGGAGATTTAGGCTTTTAATAGTTCTTTTGTTCCTAGACTGTCTAAAATTTGTATTAAAAAAATGTTCATAACAGTCGCTGCATTTGTTATTCCCTTTATATCGCCCGATTATCATTAAAATAAATGTTTAAAAAAAGGATATAATATAAAATGAACGTTAACATTTAAGTTGTTCACGAGCTCAGTGGAGCTATAGTTGAAAAAAAAACTTGCATGACCTCTTTAATGCCCGTAAATGTGATGTGCACAGGGAATCGTCACATGTACATCCAACACAACTATAGGTAGATGCAAAGGAAACGTCGTTTGACAGTCTCGACCAGTGTTTTGTTGTATGTATAGATAGTTGAGTCTTGAGGGAACTTAATTCTGGTGCGATTTTTCTCCTTCCTCACAAAAAGGCACAATGAATGCACTATTGCCTCTGAAAAAAGTCAGTTGATTGGGTATATGTGATAGTTTGTAACCTCTGTTTGTAACTGTCAGAAGTGAAGATCGTCATTCGTTGAACAAGTAAATTGAAATATATATCTGTTTGGAGTGACCCGTGTTTGCCTTTGACAGTGAATATGTAAGTGGAATTGAGCTGATTTCGATGATTTGATGGCATGAGAAATCCAGAGTGTAAGTACAAATTTTCATGCAATTTTCATTTGCTACTAATTCTTGTTATTTCTAAACTTTGAAAGTCGATAAAAGAAAACTTTAAGGACTCCACAGAAAACAAATAGATGTGAAGGGTGAAGTTAATAATCGACTTTATTGACATTCGTTATCAATGCCTATGATCAATATGGAACGTTATTTTTTTTATCTGTCGGGGTGTGTAACCCTCAAATAATTTTTCCCTGGGAATTGAAAATTCGATTAAAAACTTGATTTCTATTAAGCAAGGGGCGCCGAAGAATTGGAGGTTATCAATCTTCATAAGAAACACGTCAAAATGCGAATTCAAAAACATTCGTTGTAAAGTAAAACCCCAATCTAAGTTGCCAAGAATTACGCACACAAAAACGCTATTAGTAAGCAACTATTTTTATGGCGCATAAACGAATAGGCAAATCCAATGTTTGAATGGAATTTTCTTGCCAAAACGATTAACGAGTTTTGGATATTACCGCACATAACTTAACCTTATTTTTTTATTTGGGAATGATTGTTTGCAAAAGATAAACGTTGAATGATGTAATATAATTTATGGGCTACTGTTTACGTGCTCAATTCCCAATATTAATCGTTTTTGGCAAAAAATAGTCAATGCTATTCATTTCTGGGTCATTACAATTTAGAAATAGACAACATGACATTTCTATTTCTGTTTTTCAATGAAATTGATGTCATTAGAACTATATTATTTTTTCATTTATGTGACATTTTTACTCCTATTTTGTCACAATTTTGTGATAAAGTAGAAAAATTATTCGACTTTGCTTTGTATTTCTGCTGTTCTTTTCTGTTTTCGGTAGACATTATGTATAATTTTATTATTTCATTAATAAAACATTGTTTCCGTTTTCTAATGTTTTCAGTAAAATGAACAGGAAAATTACCAAACTCTGCTGCTTCTCGTCCATTGCAACAAACTTCTGAATGTATTTTTTGAGCAACATACAGTGCTGATAGGTCACCAAAATGGCATACATCTCATCGGAAAATGGTGCCAAAGTAACTCTTATAAAAAAAAAATTTGAGAAAAATACCTGCGATATATCTCGCTCCTATCCAGAGCAAAAGGATACACTCCGTCGATCTCTCAGTGCCTCGCCAGTGAAAATAAAGAAGAATATCAAGTTCAATGTTACTCGTCAGCTTTCTAATCCTTCCAAAAATATCAAACGAACTCCAGCATTCAGAGGTGACAAGCATTCTCGGGTTAAACACCTCCACTCTCCTTCCACTGAAAAACCGCCATCTCTCGTTCATAAGAATTTAAAAATCTTTGAAGAAACTCACGAACCTGAGAAAATAGAAAATGTACAAAAAATATCAAATTTAGACTGTTCAAATTCTGATTTACCTAACAACCTATGGGAACAGGAAAGTCATGGAAGAGAGAGATCAACAAATGCTATAGAAAGTACTGTAAGAACAACTGTAATCTCACGTCAGAAGGACATTTACTGCCTCCGAACTGGAAAAGAATCTGAAGATGAAATTGATTTTCCTTCTCTTTTTCAAAAACAAAAAATTGAAAACTGTGAAAATATTGATTCTTCAGACATTGAACGTATAAATGGAGTTGAGTATACTCGAGTGGTGAAGCCTCCGAAATTATCAAACAATGTCTCTAGAAGCCTCCAACAAGGCCTAGAGAAAACCGTAGATGGCAAGGAAGATTTATCTCGAAGAAAATCCAGAGAGGACATTTCATCATTCCTAGACTTGACACAAACTCTGAAAGCAGCCCTTCAAGCTCCATTACCATCTGGTCCAGCGCCAAAAAAACCCCCTAGAACATTCGCCCATTTAAACACGACAACTAAAAGCCATCCAAATGTGTCCCAGATTCATAGCTCTCCTGAATCTCCGGGAAAACGATGGAAATCAATCTTCCAAAAAACAGGAACTGATGTCACGGATGCAGCACCAAAAAAATCAGTCTGCGCCTCTAACATAGCTGACGATAATTTTTTATATTCGAAGGACTTTCTCAAGTCTCCAACGAGTTTTGATGAAAACACGATGGAAGAGAAACACCCAAATGTGACAAATGAATCAACACAACTGACAAAATCCTCGATTCTTCATTCTCTTACTGATACGCATCAACCAACAAAAAAAGCAAGAGATTCAAAAAAAATGTTGGAAAAATTAGAAACAGTATTAATCCAGCATCAAAAAGCACTAGGACCCAAAATAATATTGCCAAGACAAGACAGGGATAAAATACCAATTAGTTTTGACTCTAAAAAATCACAGAGTGGTTTGAATGTCGAAAATAGTTACGAAAAGAATGATAAAAGATTTTTCATGAGTCATCAATTATCAAGGGCAATACAGAGTGATAAGAATGACTTATTGAATGAATTAAAGGGAAGAAAAAACTCAACCTTTGATTGTCTGACGTCCTTGAATTGTGCTAGCTGCACCGCTTATGAGAACCCAACATTCAGACATTATTTAGACGAGAATTTGTCAACTGATATGAAATCCAAGTCTGAGGAAACTTTGAGCGCTTCTATTGAAAAAATTCTGAAATCAAGTGAATGTTATGACGATTCCTTATGTCCCGGTGTCAAGAGGCTCTCTACGGAGCTCACAACATTCTTGGAGGGAAAGAAAAGAGTCTATGGAAATGAAACAAACCAAGAAAGAGTCTATGCTGAACCGTTTTATTTTGATAAGAATTCAGGGATTGACATCACAGGATTTGGCCACCTGTCAAGTGAACAACATAATTACCTTTCAAAAAGTTGGTGTATTGAGGGAAATAGGAAGATTGATCTTGAGTCGGCCGTAAGGAGGGACACAACAAAGCAGAGTCCAGAATTGCATTATTTGGTAATTTTTTAGTAGTTCTGTTTATTTTACCTTAGTATATACTAGAGAAAAATATGCATTAGAAAGTCATGTAGTGAAATTGCCATCTAACTAACCAACTAGTTATCATTGACTAAAAGCATCCAATTGATATACGATTCCCATTGATGATTTTCATGAAGTTATCGAATGTCATTTCATGCATATTCACATTTTGCAAATCCTTAGTCAGCATTTTTCTGTAGCAAGTTTTCTTCTCCGATAAGTGTGTATTTGTAAACCCCAAAATATTCGATAATTATACAGTAGACTAGCACCAACTGTTTAGCTTTAGCCTCAAGTCAGAATTTCCGTGGTACGCTATCAAACGTTGTTTTTTCACTTTTGGATTGATGGATTGTTTTATCATCTTACCTAAACCGCTCTTTGCCTCATCTAGGGCCACGCGGTGTTCGCAGCCTCAAAGACAATCCTAAACAGGTTCCTCAGTTCCCACCTCACCTCATCATCGCCAATCATTGACTGAACACAATGAGTGGTGTGCTACAACTATTTGATTCTATTTAGAATTAAATGGATCGTTAAATCCCCGATTTATCAGGTACACAGAGAAACTAAAAGTATCTCAAGCGACTAAGAGCCTGCTCAAACCTGCCTTAGAGTGTACAATTATTTTAAATCCCGTCAATACACTTAGAAATTGCCAAAGGCTCTTGCCCAATTCCTTTAACTGCCCATGTTTATTTGTATTTTCATCGATTTTCGCAGAATACCCCGAACTCTCTACCCGCGAACTAGGAAGTGACCTTGGTGCGAATTTACTATACAATCACCCAACATTCTTCAGAACAAAAAAATATTAAGGACGGGTTGAATTATTTGGTTGTCTCGCCTACATAGTTTTTTTTTCTTTTTTTTTATCTAGAACTTTGGTGCCGTCCTACATTAAGCAGGCCTACACGATATAAATGCATGTATGCTGAAAAAAAAGTTTAAAAAAATATATATCAAGCCCGTGCTCTTTAATTCAGGTGGGGGGCTATTGGTAAAAAAGCACAAGTCAGGAAAATTTGATTTGACCGAGCACGGGGGAAAGGGGAGCGCTATAAAAGAAAATGATTTTCTGTGTGATTGATGGGGAATTTTTCCTCGATATTTTCTTTTATAGTGCTGCCTTCTCCCCCCTGATCCATTAAATCAGACATTCCCGACTTGTGCTTTTCTACAATTAACCTCCCATCTCGATTAAAAAGCACGAACACTATATTTTTCATATTTTTTTGCTTTTTTTGTAGCATACATGCATTTATGTTTTGTGATATAACTCTCACTCTTTTGTGGGTTCAATTATAGACCACAATAGGCAGAGAAACTATCACAATCGAGTAATAAATATGTGAAAACATTCAATTTATTAAACTGCCTGTAATCGGGTCCAGAAAGTACAATCACTTAATTATCAGCGCTCATTCTCTCATTTTATTCTGCACCACTGTAAGTTTGCTTTTCCTTTATTCAGAAAAATGTGGTAGAGCCGTTATTATAATTTTGGGGACTTCTTTAATTAATACGGTTGGGTTTAAATAGTTTTGTGTATTTTCCAACACACTACTATTCACATTAAAGAGAACTTCTCGTAATCCATGGTTACAAACCATCAATAAATCAAAATTGAAGGAACCAATTGATCTCTAAACGAGTTCACATTTTTTCATTTATTCACTTCTCGCGATACCCTGAATTTATCAGTCAAGCTATCTACATTCGAAGATCACTCAGGAATTCTTGGAAACTGATGGATTGAATCTATTGAAAAGTGCTAAGCTCTTTCATCGCTGTTGCAGAACAAAATGAAAAAATATACCGGTTCTTGGTTTCATCATTATTTAATGACTCACAAATGTTCATAGTCGTCCGTATATTCTTCCGAATTGTTGCGCAAGTTTTGCCAATTTTTTCAAAAGTTTACTGAGAATAGCAAAATTCTTTCACGGTGATAGAAGTTCGTGAGACATTGAATCATAATGAAAAGCAGTGTCTACACACACGGCCTATGGTTCAATACCATAGACGTATGGCATTTTTCCGACCATGGATCTATGGCTTTTATCAACCATCTCCGCAAGTAAATCATGGCTATGGTAAGTTGTGCCATGCGTCCATGGCAGTGTACCATGGACACATGGATGAGAACTATAAATGCACGGTAAAAAATACCATACACTTAACAGTCGTTAAGCATCCAAGGCACAATGCCATGTGCATGGTGATTTCCACCATACACCCAACCGATTACTAGGAGTATGACAATCGGGACTATGGCTTTACATTTTTTTTATTGACACAAATAGCACATATATATCTAATCGTATACCTCAATTCGATTTTGGCTCTTTTCTCTCTCAAAGAACAATTGAAATATTCGAGTCCGTTAATGAAGGCACCAATAAATTGAAAAATGTACTGCCTGTATAAACATTCACAATGAAATTCCTCCAACTTCAACTATCTCCGGAAAACCGTAAACCTTTCGACTCTCCAAAAAATGCGGTAAGTAAAAGAAAACTCATACTAGTTATATTTTTCACTCTTCCCCGTTTTCTAGAACAACAAAAGGATTCCCAATTAATTCATAAACACTTGAAGCTTTTTAATGAATTCTTCTATTTTATTCAAAATACTTTTGTCAATATATTAAAACCAATTATGTTAAACATCCTAAATTTACGCAAGTAATGCACATTGAAAGGAAGAAGAAAAATTAACGAACGTTACGCTTCATTTTTGCTCTTTCCATTTCTCTAAATAAAGTGGAGTATTCTTTAAATAATTGCAGGAATTACATCACCTTAAATGCCTTAATAATATCTTAGGTGAATGAAATAAAGATATAATCATTTTATAAAACTATACGTTATCCAGAAAGAGCTAACTGGTAAACCAATTATCGTGAGAACGCGGATTTCTACATTATTATTCACTTGGATCTCTTTTTGTTGTTGTACTCTTGGTGTTTCGATGCTATTAAGAATCTCAACAATAATTGGAAAAAAATCATCCTCCTTTTTTGATACACGGGGAGCAGAACCATACATTGGAAATTTCTATTTGAAACTCAACGTAATTGGCGTATGCATACCTCAAACATGATTGGCAAATTACCCATTGACGTGATATTTGGGTATTAATGCGTGCACAGTAACTACATGTTTTTGCTCCTGAATTCCTCTTATCGATAATTACATTTTTTAATGTTGAAATCGCCTCTGTTCAAAAAAAGATTAAAGGAGTTGGATATTAATATGAGTACTCAGAAAAGAATCACTGACTCTATGGGGATCCACGTCCAGATCATGCACGGTAATCTTGGACTCATTATCGAGTAGGATGTCTAAGGTAATTCATTATCATATATTGCCAAAATTATTTTGAATAAAATAGAAGAATTCACTAAAAAATTTCAAGTGTTTATGAATTATTTGGGAATCCTTTTATGGTTCTCGGAAACCGGGAAGAGTGAAAAATATAGCTAGTATGAGTTTTCTTTAACTTATCGCATTTTCTGGCAAGTCAAAAACTTTCCGGTTTTCCGAAGATAGTTGGAGTTGGAGGAATTTCACTGTGAATTTTTATACAGGCAGTACATTTTTCAATTTATTTGTGCCTTCATTAAACGACTCGGATATTTCAATTGCTCTTTGAGTTGAAAAGAGCAAAAATTGAACTAAGGTATACATATGTACTATTTGTACCAATAAAAAAAACGTGAAGCTATAGTTCTAACTGCCATACACTTAGTAATCGGTTGGGTGTATGGTGTAAATCACCATGCACATGGCATTGTGCCATGGACGTATAACGACCGTTAAGTGTATGGTATTTTTTACCATGCATTCATGGTTCTCATCCATGTGTTCATGGCAGAGTGTCATAGACACATGACAAAACTTACCATAGATCATGATTTACTTGCGGAGATGGTCGATAAAAGCCAGAGATCCATGGTAAAAAAAATGCCATACGTCTATGGTATTCAACCATACACCGTGTATGTATACACTGCCATAATGAAACTTAAAAAATGTAGGTTTTTCACGTCAATCGGATCTCTGGTTTCCTAGAAATTTACAAAAAAGCATGAGCAATGAGAAGATATCGACAATAACTTCTCAAGTTAACAGCCATAGTAAATATTTACTCGGTAGTTTATGCTTAAATTTTTCTAATGAGGAGTTGAAGAAGTATAAAAAGAAATTTTTTTGAAACTCCGGTAACTTTTCACATGTTTAAACGAAAGTCCATGTCTCCATAGTTCTGAAATGAAAATTGTTTAGGGTAGAAGCCGTGGTCGATGAGGGATCTGGTTCGGGGAATAATTTTGATGACACGAAGATGCGGAGAGGGTCAAGAAAATCGCTCGTTGGTCAAAAAATGTCAATTTTTCAATTAGTAAATGTCACTAATACATTTGAAAATGTCAGTAAAGTGAGAGATGAGCAATCATCGTATATAATTCAAGGAGTTGTTGAGTTATTTTTGAGAAGAACTAATAATGAGCGGTTCAATAAAAAGAATAGACGACATTCTACGAAATGCGCGTAAACATTCAAACGACCGATATGCAAGTGAGAGAAAATGATAAGCAGCAAGGTGGCGGGTAGCAATCATGGCAATAGTCAAACACCTGTCCATCAAGGTGCGCCTTAGGTGTCAGAGGTGAAATTAAAAAAATGGTCATCTGAGGTGAGCGATATAATCGGTGGTGTCTCTGCGCGTATGCGTGCGTAAAAAAATTCGATTGAAAACTAAACAAGCCGCATCATTGAAAACAGTAAAAAAAAATTAAATCAATTGTCGGTTTTGTTTTCGAAGAATAATTATTGCTATTAATTCAATATTTCAAGAAATAGTGAAAAATTAAAAACTGTCAAAAATAGTTTTGAACTATAACAATGGCTGTTAATGTTTCCGGTTTCCGGATACCCTAGCCTCCACGCTTTTGACTAAGTGTTATAACCAACCGAATACTTAATATTTTTAATTGTTTTCTTTACAGTATATCCTCAATATATCATATTTTCAGAATATGAAAAGAAAAACAATCGCATTTTTTTATAGTTCCAGGAGTATTGTCCCCTTTGACCCGAGTCGCTACCATTATTGTGACAAAAATTGCAAGATAAATTTATTGAGACCGGACAGACAACTTTCTTTTACTAAATAAATGGAGTGCGACACTTCCTATGATTCTTCGATTCACAGATACCTGGCTAGCTTTCCTTTGTAGTTTTCTGAAAGCAGCTTCAGTTTCTAGGCTTTGTGCAGTCTCCGAAGAGTTCGATTTATTATAGGATGTGTAACGCTTATCCATGAAGATTTATCCTTATCAAATTCATGAACATGTATATTACTGATGTTTTTCATGTAATAGAACTAAGACGATTTCCTTCAAGATATACGGGCCTAGATGATACCACTTAATTATTATTATTTTTTTTCATTACCTGTGGTGAATCTTGGTGAAACATCAAATAATAATAATAAGTAAAAGCGGTATAATTTTTCACGTTAATTTTATTAACCATTTCTGAGAAATTTGTGAAAAACTTGGAAAATGGAAAGATATTCGTGAACATTATTTAAGTATAGAAATCTTATATTAAGGAAATATTTTCCTTCCTGTTCTTGTTCTTCGATTCTTGAAGCACTATCCCACCTGAAAGAATTTGCCACATCCAATGTAAAAAGAAAACTGAAAATTATTTCGAACTCTGAAAGCATACTCTTTCTATTCCAGTGTACTCCAATTACTGCAGAAGTTGAAGAAGACAATAATAATGCATTTAAGAAGTATGATAAAAGGCCAAAGGAGTCACTTAGCTTCCAAAGTTCTTTAGAGAGCACTGATGATTTGTATGAACCTTTGTCGACTGCACCTATTCGTGTTAAGGTAAGAAAAACATTTATTTAATTGTTAGAAAGTAAGTAGATATCTGTTATCACAGAAAAATAAACCTGGCAGAATAGCGTATGTGTTTGAAGTACATATGAATTATATGCACTTATATTTCAGCAAAAAATACCGTCTATATGTTGCCGCATAATAATAGAAAACATAGAAAAATCGAGGAAGTTCGATCGCATGAGTTCCAACAATAACTACATGTAAGGATCTGGCCAATCCTCCCAGACTACGCTACCCTTCTTTTTCGCGATTGATGCTATGGAGCAATGTATCGACGAATCTAACAAAATTAAGAGAACGTCTCCTTAAGGTTACGTTTCTTGACAAATCCGTACAATCCAAATCATGAGCAATTAATACTCCCGTTGTACCCAATTCTTGAATCCATTTCAAAAAATTGTCCATTGCTATTTTCATGGCAACAGATGATAAAACTTGCCATGCAGCAAAAAAGTTCCGTTGTCATTTATCAAACCGTTGTTAGCAGTTGCACTTGGAGCTACCGATTGTCTCAGATTTACCGTGGAGTGATGGGTTTTTGGGTAGGAATGACTGTTTCGCTAATATCTCTTACTAAATTTGTTTAGTAAAAAGTGATGTATAAAACTGATTATTTGTTAGTCTATAGATCCAATTATGCAACACCCCGTTATCTCTTCTTGTAATACTCATTTTAATGAAAGGTATTCACCAAACGAATAAGATTGCCTCGCTTATTCGTTTTTGCGATGTGACGCAGGTAAAAAAGTTTTAATTGATACTTTGACTAAACATCAACCAACACCGTATCTAGAAAGATCTAGTCGTGAGGTTAAATCATACATGATATTTGTGCACTGAGGGAAATTTTTTTTAACAATTATCAAGACATTCGGGTAAAAATTATCGTTCTGAAGTAATAAGTATCCTTGCTGTAGATGATTTTTAATCAACTTTTCCGGATAATATTCGTTCTCATTTGAGTAAAAATTGCCACTATGCACGGATGAAAATTATTGCATAGCTTGGTAAGTTTTGCCGATATGTGGATAAAAATGATTATGTATTTTGATCATTTTTACCAATGTGTGGAGTAAATGTGTCCAGTAAATGAATAGTGAAATAGGTGGTTTTAGCAGCCGGGCTGCTTTTTTTTTTTTTTAATTTCTCGCTAACTCCTCATTCAAATAGTGAATGCGTTATGATTCTCATTCCCACGGTTGAGGTGGAAAAAATTGAAAAACACCTCCGAAAAACGGTCTTTCCCAAACAACTCGAAAACGGCTCAAGATACAAAGTAAGAGGTGGCAAACATAATTGTACATCATGAAATTCGGTATAAAAAAGGTCCCAAGCATTTCGGATCATTCACCCCTATTTCGCATCATTCACCCTTCAGAGTCATTGAAAGGCTCGGAGTGGGAAAATTTTTTTTTTTTTTTCCTAAATTTTTTCTCTTAGATTCTGAACATTTTTCGTTCGAAACTTTTTTTTGTATCTGTCACAGTTATAATAGAACCCCTACCATGAGGAGAACGCATAGACTTGCGGCTGCGCACGCATATAAATAAGTGAGTTTCAAATAAATGAGTTTCGAATAAAGTCATTTTCTTATAATGTTTTGTTCGTTTTAATATCAAAATGGATGCTGATGCAATTTGCCATCTCTGTCAGGAGAAGATGGAAGAATCTACTGTTGCGGATGCCGCAGCTAATATGAGCATTTAAAGGAAAACGCAAACTTTTCCATTTGTTTAAATAGAAGGAGGAATAAAAGGCTTAAATAAAATGGTAGCAGGTCGACATATGGCCAACAGCTGTTGGTGACAATTAAGAAATCATGAAGCCCCACCCCCAAGGAGAAGGTGGTCTTCATAAGAAGTAAAAACGGGGCCACCTTTAGCCGTCAATTCCCAAATAAGCGCGAGTATTGCTGATGTCGCGGGTAATATGAATATTTAAAGGAAAATGCCAGATTTTCCATTTGTTTAAATAAAAGAAGAAATAAAAGGTTTAAACAAAATGCCAGCAGGTCAACATATGGCCAACAGTCGCTCGTAACAATTAAAAAATCGTAAAACTTCCCCCCTATGGAGAGGGTGGTCTTTCTCAGAAATGAAACGGAGCCATCTTTACCCGTCAATACCCAAATGAGCGCGAGGAAGAAGCGGTGCAACAAATACACGACAGCAATGAGGAGAGAGACAACCCAATGATGAAGGAAACTGGCCACCAAGGGACGAAAAGAGAGGGAAACACAGACACCTGCGACAGGTTACCCAGCCAGAGACAGCGAGACCCTTCGCTGTCTGACTTTATTATATAGGACACCAAGCCCATGGGCCTCAATGCCCTATGAGAATCAACTAATAAAAAAGCTGTAAAACGAAGGAATAATAATAATATCCATCCAGCTGGTGCTGTCCACCCCGAGATGACGGTCACGACAGATGGGAAATTGAACCAAAATTTGATTCCTACGCTTCACGTGCATTAGATGAAATTATTTATTACCAAAATGTCGTCCAAATTGAACGGTCAAAACCCGCCTTTGATTTCTAATCCTATAAAAAGGGCTGGAATCACCCAAAAAGAGTCAGTTAGTGAGTTAGTCAGTTCAGTGCAGCCCAATTCAGTCACCAAGTCAGTCACCAGTTCAGTTAGCAATTCAACTAGTTCAGTACAATACAGTCCAGTGCGGTTCTAAATCTACGAGTGCCAGTCCAGGGTTCAAGCTCTCTTCAAAGTCGTCTCAACTGTACTAATTCTCGACGACAAGCGCCGTCCAGCTAAAAGCCTTGGTTCATCAGTTCTTCAACCAGGACGTCTCTTGGTCAATTTTGCCATTGCCTAATTCCTGACGGCAAATCTACGCTTGTACCAGTTCTTCAGTCAAGACGCTTCTGAATCAATCTGGCGATACCCAGTTCCTGACGGCAAATCCAATTTGTACCAGTTCTTCAATCAAGACGTCTCTGAGTCCATCTGGCGATACCTAAATCCTGACGGCAAATATAAATTTGGACCAGTTCTGCAGTTAAGGCCCCTGAGAGTCAATTCGGCATTGCTAGTTTCTCGGTAAGTCCAGTGCAAGTGTACTACGCGCATCCTGACCACCAACTCAGCACGAATCCAGCTCAGACCAGTTCTTCCACCGATCGTCAATATTGTTTGCACGGCCGCAAGCTCCTCCAGGAACCCCATCTCACCGACCATCGCCTGAGCCTGCAGCAACCCGTCTTGCCGAGCCTTCAGAGTGATCACACTCGTTTTTTCCCCCCATTTAGTCCAGCCAACAATCACCGTAAGTCGAATAAAATACACACGCTACACTACACACTATTCTTTTCAAACACGCTATTTCCCCGGTTTTTATTTCGGATTGTCTATTAAGTGTATTGGTGCGTTTTTAATAAATTAACTAAAAGGGGATTCGTTCAAAAGTGTGGTTCTCATAATTTACGGGACGATTTTCCTTCCGCGAAGAATAACCATTGTATACCTCTGTATTTAGTCCCACCCAGTCAGATCCCACTACAAGACAACCTTCTTTTTCTTTTTTTTTGTTGTTGCCTCCCTACCTACTCACATCCCAGAGGAGTCCAGGGTTCCTAACGGACCAGGACGTAAAGGGGTCTATTTTCCCCCATAACCGCAGCACTACAAAAACAGTGACACTAGGTGAAATTCAGCTAGAAAAATTCATTGGAAAGAGTAAGATCAGAGGAGATGACTTTTGGAAGAAGTGGGAAGAGGGACAATGTACACGGGTACACGATGTATGTAGGAAGCGATGTTCTGCGAAGCCCGAAAAACCAACACCAGCAAAGAAACGATGCTCAGAATCTCGTAGTATCATACCATTCACAACCTCACAGCCGGAGTTCTGTGAAATGGAAATTTCGGCTCCATCAAGGCCTTCCATCTCACACACAGAAGCCTGTACGTCTGCATCATCGACACAAACTCAAGTATTTATTAGCGAGTTCAATTTTCAAGATCTTTGTTTTCTTTGTGGCAAATCACTAGATCCCTATCATAAAGAGATCCGACAGGTACGAGACCACTTATTGAAGGATAGATTAGTAACAATTGCCAAAACCAGGGACGATGAACTCGGTGATGAAGTTACTAGTAGATTGTGAGGAAATTTTTCACTTGTCGATGTGATAGGGGCATATCATAAAATCTGTTATAACAGATTCGTTCAAAATCTTTACCTCACTCGGTATGTTCCTGATCTTCAGAATGAACAAGCATTTCGCAACCTGACCGCTTACATCGAAAACACGCCAAATTTGGAATTTAAATTGAAAGAATTGCGCGATGTCATGGGCGATAATTCGATGACTGATACAGTACTATTTAGAAAATTAAAAGTGAAGTATGGAGACCACATTTTTATCAGTCGTCATCCGGGAAGGTCAACAAAGATTTTTTATAAACAATTCGATATGATAAAAATATGCAACGACTGGTTTACCTATGGGGGAAATGTTACTGATCATCAACAAACAATCATTCTTAACGTAGCAGCAGATATACTGCGCAAGAAAATTCTAAGTGCAATCTTCAATACTCAATCATATTCTCCACCCGTTCAATTTCTGCAGACTGTCTCAACACTCATTCCATCAAGTCTTCAGGGTTTCCTCGGCAGGCTATTGTTTAAAGATGATCCGGATAAAGAAGCTGCAAAACGAGGTGTCAGAGATTCCATCGCCCATGCTATTGTTTGTGCACTTCGCCCAAGGACATTTATATCAAATTAGCAATCGGCAATCGGCATATATATCCATAGATAGGCAGCTTCAAAATTAATTATCGAGATATTGAGTAAATTAGGTTTGTGTGCTTCCTATTATGAGATATAACTTTTGGAGGTGAGTAGTATCATGGATCCTCAGAAGATGAACGTTGAAGAGAATTGTTTTGTACCGTTCGTTTTCGATAACACAGATCATAATGTGGAAACACTAGATGGGCGTGAAACATTTAATTGCTTGGGAGCAATCGCTGTATACACTCCAGAAAAAAACATTTCATATGAAGGGGGTATTATCACATTGCATAAAATGCCTGCAGCTGAAGTAATAGCCTCTCAGAAAAGGATTTCCTTTTACTCCATATGAATCTCCTAATCAAAATTAAATGAATAATTTACGTATAAATCTGTCACTTCTCTCCATCTTGGAGAGACACCATTGCTTCCATACACATATAGTACTTACATTTGGGGGAAATATTTCAACGGTGTTCAGCTTCCGAACTGGAAAGGATTTATGGAGGTTTTAACAGATGAGGAATCTTGCAATAAAAGACAATCCTCTATAATCGGTTTACCTTTTATTAATGCAGCACCATCGAACGTGATGACTCTCCACACTGCACTAACATATGCGAAGGCTGAAACTGAGAAGTTTGGTTCCAAAACGACTTTCATAACATTTGATCAGCCTTTGTACTGGAAGTCGAAGTCAATTGTGGCAAACTTAGCAAATTCATCCATGAAACATACTGTTGCTCTACTCGGGATTTTTCATTTGGTCATGTCACTTATGGGATCAATAGGATACACGATGCAAGGAAGTGGCCTAGAAGATTTATGGTCCGTTATTTATGCTCCTGAGTGTGTTAAAAAAATGATGAGTGGACATGCATTCTCACGAGCTTCGCGGCCGCATATCCTCACCTTTACAGCTCTAGGGAAAAACATTTGTGAGTTTATTGAGGTACCTGAGGGACGGAAAGATTCTATGGATAAATTTTTATTGGAGTAGCAATTAGAAGCAAGAGGCGATTGCAAAGCTGAAATAGAAATTGGAGAAATGACGAAATTTTTTGAGAAACAACTAAAAATTCTGGAAAATAATGGTCCCATCTGTAAGCTGGGGGTTCAGTATTTTAGATCTGTTGTTATTTTACTCCAAATAATCAAAGCAGAAAGGTTAAGCGATTGGGAACTTTACCTGCAATCCGTTAGAAACTCATTACCATTATTCCATGCTGCTGGCCATCATGCTTATGCAAAGGCAGCTCAACTGTATTTACAGGAGATGGCCGACTTGGAATTATTTATGGATTTAGAGGAATATAACGATTTTACAAAAGGAGGATATTTCACCATCCGTAGAACGGATAACGCATGGGCAGGAATCTCAAAACATATAGTCATTGAGCAAACCCTCAATCGTTTTTTCGGGACAGATCTCAAACATGGGAGAGGCGTTACGCCCAGTGTAGTAACACGCTACTTACTTGCCATGCCAGCCTCCTTCACTATTATGGAGCAATTGGAAGAATACTGCCAAATACAAAGTGCTAATAGTGAAGAACACGTCGATCTCAGAAAAAGTATGGTTCTACGAGATGAGAACGATATTGAAAAACTCATGTTTTGGATAAATTCTCACAATCTTTTTCATGGTCGCAGTTCCCTGGTATCATTGTCATCTGAAATTATGGGTGGGCCTTTTATCAACTGCCATGGCTTTCGAGAAAGGAAAGCAATCTATGGTAACTATGATTGGAAAAACTGTACAGAAAGTTTCGATATCCAAATCATTCCAAGTGAAGAATTTGGCATCAGCTGCGGAGGGAATCCATTTGAAATCAGATAATACCAACGTAAAAATGAACACGCAATTGCCAAAAAATTTCTGTTCTCATAAGTGGAAATCAGGAATTGACCAAAAAAGCATTCAGTTACGAGCTCTCACCCATTCCATTAAGTCTTTTTGATGATAAGGGGTGGTTGAGAGGAAGTGCTAAGTCGGAACTTTATACAGTATTCATCTTATCAATTTTGAACCAATCATTATTGGCTAATTGTCAGTTCGTTATCGATGGAGGGTGGTTATTGAGACAAATTACGTGGCCTCATGGGAAGCCCTTCTCGGAAATATTCCAACTGTATCGAGCATACATTTTGAAATATTTCCGATCTGATGCTGTGGTAATTTTCGACGGTTATCAAAATGATGTGATAGGAGTGAAGTCGTACGAGAGGCTGTGGCGAAGAGAGAAATTTATGGCAGCTGATATCGAGATTGGGCTGGACAAAGTGGTCACCACAACCAAAGACAATTTTCTTTCTAACCTTGTCAACAAATTCAAATTCGTAAAACTACTGTCGGAGTATTTGATTAGTGAGCATATTTCGACAATAGTGGCTGAAGAAGATGCAGATGCTATGATTGTCCACACTGCGATCGAGATGAACAGCCATATACAACTTAATAGTAAATCTATTGTGGTAGTCGGTGACGACGTCGATCTGATGGTCCTCCTAATCGGACTCACTCCCATTCACGAAAGTGTTTATTTTTATAAAATTGTAAGCAGTGGAAAAAAGCAGAAGACTTTGTATTCAACGTGGGACCATCAACTTTTAAAACCTTTCATTATGTTCGTTCACGCACTTGTTGGCTGCGATACGACGAGTGCGCTTTTCGGGAAAGGGAAGAAAACTGTAATCTCTTTATTGCAGAAAAATGAAAGTATCTGTCAATCCGCATTAGTCTTTTATGATATAGATAGAACGATTGATGAACTTTACCCAGTTGCAGAGAACATAATAAAACGTCTTTATGTAAAAGATGAGCAGGCAATGCTTCCTATTAACGACCTAAGATACAAAATGTTCACTTCTGAATTAGCTGGCACCAAAAAAGACCTCTTCACTTCTCTTCCACCTACGCAAGCTGCTCTGTCTGAATATGTGAAAAGAGTATATTTGCAAATTCTACAATGGCTCTGTAACAAATTGGACCCGTTACAATGGGGCTGGGAGCGACTACAAACGACGAACTTCGTATTGGCGCCAATAAAAACAAGTGAAAAAGCTGCTCCAGATGATTTATTAGCTATGGTGAGTCGAATTTGGAACAATCATGGTAAAATCGAGCTTCTTCATTAACTTTAATACGGATTGTATTCTTTCCGTCTTACTTTCTTGGGGCACAATATTTTTAGTGTTCACAGTGCCTAGCTGTGTCACTCACGCACTCGTCATAATTTTCTAACGTTTGTTGTATTTATTCACGGAGAGGAAAATTCCCTAAAAATACCTCCGTTAAACTAGGCAACTCGAATTCTCTTAAAGTACGGAGCAGATGAGTCACTTGATTTAATTAACAATATTTCCGAAATTCTTGGAAAAAATAATTAGAGATTCTATCAAAAATATCTGCAAATTCATGAGGAAGAACTTCCGGATAGATAGGACTTATGATCGAAAATTATTTCTAAACTGTATGGCATTGTTATATTGTTATAAAATGTTGAAAATAATTTCCAGGTATGCTGTAAGTGTGCAAGGAGTAAATGTACTATGGCTATGTGCATCTGTAAGAAGTCTGGGCTGCACTGCAGCCAGCTCTGCAAATATTGCACGGATGGAGATAGCTGTCAAAATCAATCTTCCGGGGTCCCTGATGAACCTGAACCAGTAGATGAGGAAATGGAAGTAACTGAAGAAATTTGCAGAAATATCTTCAACTTTTTTTCACATGAATCAGAGGAGGAAGGAGACGTGGAAGAAGGCGAGGAAAATGAAGAGGAATTTCTGCCGATTGAATTTAATTATTAGTAGAATAAATATTTTTCCATATTATTAGGAAAAACTCCATCATTTACGACTAATAGAAAGTTTTTATATTTTTGTATAAAATTTCGCCTATATTAAAACATATCGTGGATAAACTCCTGAATTCATGTAGAAAATCGAATTTTACATAATAACTATGATGGATACAAAAAAAAGTTTCGAACGAAAAATGTTCAGAATTTTAGAGAAAAAATTGAGGGAAAAAAAAAATTGACCGATTGGATAATAAGTTGATTTTTACTTTATGGCAGAAATTTGGGAAAATTAATTTCAAGGGGGGTGGGAAAAATTGGGGTTACAGGAGAGATGGTTACCAATAATTAACTGAATGGAAAACATGAAAAAAGAAGTTGTCATGAGAATTTCAACATTTTTTTCCCACTCCGAGCCTTTCAATGACCCTGAGGGGTAAATGATGCGAAATAGGGGTGAAATGCTTGGAACATTTTTTGTACCTAATTTCATGATGTACAATTATGTTTACCACCTCTTGCCTCGTATCTTGAGCCGTTTTCGAGTTATTTCGGAAAAACCGTTTTTCGAGGGTGTTTTTCAATTTTTTCCACCCCAACCCGGGGGATGAGAATCATAACGCATTCACTATTTGAATGAGGAGTTAGCGAGAAATTAAAAAAAAAGCAGCCCGGCTGCTGAAAACACCTATTTCACGATTCATTTACTGGACTAAAAATTACTATTCCGGAAAGGTAAAAAATACTGACCCCACCTAAAACCCCTTATCACCCACTACACACGGGCCTCCGAGTCATGTGGATACATTTCCGTCAACAACAAACAACTAGTTGCTCGAATTCTAATGCACATATTGGCATTCGGAAAGAAAAATATAAAAAGACAATAAAATTATATTCGCAGTAAACTATTGGATTTATTTTTCGAGACGTTTTTCATATTTTATTACAACCAACAAAAGATACACATGAAAATATTATCCCATAGTTACAAATAAGACAATAAAAATTCAAATTCTCTGGTCGTTCGGATTAATTGCGTTGTACGGACCTCGTGCAGGAGGGTCTATGGGTGGGGTCGGGGTGGGGCGTGGGGTTCTTTATTCTGCCTCTTTCTTGCACGTACTGTACCCACAGAAAACACTATATTTAAAATACATTATCGTACATTACGCGTTTGGAAACGTAAATTACCATTTTTATACCATAATTATGGTTTCGAACACGTAAATTACGATTAATTTTTTGCCAAGCTGTGCTTCTCTCGCTTTAGCAGAACCGGAGAAATTACGACGATAGTCGTGGGCGACAGGGTGTTCATTACTGTCATTCTTCTTACACTTCTTGTTACATGTCGAGTGATAGTGTAATACTTGGCATCTGTAATAACCGATCACTACTCCGAAACCGTTGTGACTGTCATAGCTTCGACCGGCACCCCGAGTCCTCCATTTCATGGCGTAAGACTCCACAATTCGCACCACGTTCTCATTAGATGCCTGTAGAACCTCTTCTAAACTTGAATCATGTTCTGAGATGACGAATTCTATTCTAAAATCCTCTGGCCTACAAATTGGGAAAGGATTGCATGCAAATTACCGCAACATTCATGATTCAATATGTGATTTCATTTAGTTAAAGCGAAACTTTATACAAAGGAAATTTTCAACGTAAATAGTTGACTGGTGTTCTTGGGTGAATTCCAGCAAAAAACCAACATCTGAAGTATATTATGTTTCCAGGTGATTTATGAACAAATGGAAATTAGTTGTAAATCATAACGCTTTTCCCGGTTGGGCACCCGTCGTGTACATATCGAGGTCCGCCGTTCTTCTTACGGCAATCATTTCTCATCTCATCTCGACGACGCGAACTTTATATAGCGCTCTGCATCTTGTGGCATCAGAGGAAATCAGCGGATATACTTTTGGAGTCAATAGGAAGGGAATTAGGTTAATTCGCGATATGATATCCTACTTACCCCTATGCTGTGTTTTGCCAGATCTGCTAAGTGTTCCTCTTGGGGATGCGGTCCCAGAATGGGGCTACCCGGGCCCGAAAAGTATAATCGGCCAATATTGGCCGGGTAGCGGCAGCCAATATGCCAGCGTTGGACGCCTTTCCTTAACCAATACTGGCCCGGTCTTGGCTAGGTCTTGGTTTGATAACACCGGGCCAATACTGGTTGCCAAATGATGGCCAAGTGCCGAATACCAAGCAATGACCGTTAGTTGGCACCTAATATCTGTCGAGAACTGATTACCAAGCAATGGCCAAGAGCCGACTACATTTGAAGCCATCACTGAGCCGACGTTGGTGAAGCTCTTTTTCGTCACTATGTCGAAGAATATTTTTCCAGCGAATAGGAATGAGAAATCGCCTTCGGTAGCAGTTTCATATTCGCTAGAGAAATATTCTTTTCACAAATATTCGATTCACATCAGTGACGAAAAATACTGTGAGGAATAAATAATCATGAGGATTAATAGACGAAAATTACAATACAATGTTTAATTGTTGAAATCGAGTTACAAAGGTCTGAATTACACAAAAATTTAAGCCATCGAAAATGAATGGTTTGAATTATAAAAAATGCCACTATTTTTATTTCACCGAATAAATCTCAAATTCTTATAACTATTCTCTGCAAATGTAGACAGTGAAGAAGATGTTAATAGATGGAGAATTATATTCTCACATGAATTTCTCATCTTAAATAATATTATCTGACTTAATATCAATCTGATGAGTCACAAACGCCCTTAAATCTAGAGAAAAGGAAGTGATGAACTGAAAATGATGCGACTATTTCAAAAGATAAATTATGATTTATAGAGTTGACATTTTTTAAAATCAATTCTTTTCCTATGGTCTGAGGTCTGAGGCAACAATAATAATGCGGAAAATGAATAATAATAATAATATTAAAGTGATCAATTGCTTACTTTAGAATACTCTCAGATAAATGGAAATTTTAGTTTTCGAAAATAGTGAAAGTCTATTTTACCAATTGCAATATTCGAAACATAAATTGTCCTTCAGCTTGCGATTTTTTTCAAAACTTACAAACCTGGAATTTTTTCGCCTCTTCATGCTGACTTTGACCTTCTCTTCTGTCGTTTTGCTCGTCTGCCGAATCGATCTCCGGCACCCGAGAACCGCTTTGAAAGGCGAAGACGATAATCCTTCTCATTCCACTCCTTTCCTAATTTTTCTATCACCGCATCTGAAATTTGCGTTATAAGACAGATTACACGATGACGAATGTTGGATTGAAATTTTCCATGCAATTTTTTCTACTGATGCACATATGAAAATCGAAGGGATCATGGAATACTCCTTCACATGTTGTTCATAAAGGAAAAACTGATGAATTGCAGAAAATCCAAAATGTTGTTGGAGACATAACTGAATTTATTGTAATTTCTTCATTCCTTGGATAAGAAAATTCATATCGTCTACTTCTCATTCAATTTTCATATTTTTGATCCCGGCATTCGACACTAAAATTCCATATAAAAATTCCCCGATAATGTAAAGAATATTGGCATAACATCATAATTTTCGATTTAATGTGTAACGACGGATAAGAAATTGAAGATGTTGAAAAAAAACAATCATGCATAATTTCTTACATGATAAATTGGACCTTTGATGAGTTAGAAATCGATTCATAAGATTCTTTGAACAATTATTTTATCAAACTATAATTTCTCGTTTGACAGGCCATTCCTATACATTTGGGGTATTCATGGAGGCAAAGTATTCAACACACAAGTGTGACATTGGAGAGAATTTTTGTATCAGGAATAGAATTTTCATGCAATGTGAATCCTATTTTTTCGATGTTTTCATTTATTCCTCAACCTCGAATAATTTATTTTCTCATAGGACACTATATTATTATACTTTTGCATGACTCAATTGATTATTATCAATAAAACTAGATTGCCAATGAAGCACGAACTCAACTCCATTATTTTACCCATATTAACTTCAATTTGGGATTTGCTTTAAAATTTAATCTTTGAAATGAAAGTTAGTGATGCTCCAACATTTATCTGAAACATCGTGTATTTCAATCGCTATCATAAAATGAAAACAAAAAATCATCCATTTTCGATTGGCTCGCGTCTGAAATCTGAATTTGAAAATGAAAAAAAAAGTAAAATGAGCAATTGGATGCTTCAGGAGTATGATGATTCGAATGTTTTGAAAAAATGATTCTCTGTTCATTAAAATCCACTCATTCGTTCATGTTGCATACCTTTTAAAAGGCCACTTGTTACGGTCTTACTGAAATCTTCTTTGTCCTCCCTCCCAAATCCTGAATAAGTGTCCTGAACCTGCTCTCCTAGAAAGCTATCCAGAACACCGGTTATACAATCCTTGCTATCCATCTTAGCAGAAATTATCTTGAATTTTATAAAGTCAAACTGAAAAGAAAAACAAAATAGAATTTTATTCAACTGACACTAATGGCAGAAAGTCATAAGCATAATAATCATGATAATGATAATAGACTTTACCAAAGCATTTTTTTCGCTCAAGTCCTCCACCAAACGCCTTTCATATTCATTGAATTGATCAACTGTTGTGATGGGAAGACCAATCTTCAATTTCGACCTTAGTTCATTCAGATTGGTGCTCTGAGCCTGCCTGAAATTCTAGCACAGCATGGTATCCTTCAACTCCTTCGTCTGGTTCCTTATATCCACTTGATACTTTGGACTATGGACTTCATACTTTTCTTCACTGCTTGATCCACCACGTTGGCAATGGCGAGAGAGAGCCCCTCTGGTAGTTTCAGTGTATCAGATGCTCGTGGGGGTGTGGCTGGGTGGGGAGAAAAACTTGTATCACCAATTTTCCGTTTAGATGTGTTTTTGGTACCCCGAGATTCTGATGACATAGTCGCCAGGTCATCTTCGGTATCTGAATAAATGTCTTGATATCTCATTCGTGGATCGTCACGTCTTCTAGCACGAGTCTTTCCTCTCGAAGTAGTGGGACTATAACATGGATCATCTTGTCTCTCTTTACTGGGGTCCACAGTTCCCTTCCCATGCTGGCTGCGGTTTAATTGACTTGCTTTATTAGTCAAACGTTCCATG